ACTGCTCCAGTAAAATTACTGTAGCGTGTGAAGAAAGCTATTCAAGACACGTGTTTTTTATATAGGGTGCTGGGCAGGGAGGAGCCAATGAGTCGAGGGGGGGGAGATAACCATCTCGGTGTTTGTACACTGCATGTACGGTGCTTGTACACTGCATGTACGGTCCTTGTACACTCCATGTACGGTGCTTGTACAATGCATGTACGGTGCTTGTACACTGTATGTACGGTGCTTGTACACTGCAAGTACGGTGCTTGTACACTGCATGTATGGTGTTTGTACACTGCATGTACGGTGCCTGGACGCTGAATGGCGAATGGGAATGAAACACTCTTGTAAATCAGACTTTTTCTTAGTGATGGTGGTGTATCAGGCTGGATATGACTGTAAAATTATAAGAATCAATATGGATATGGTTATGAGAGTAAATATAAACTGGCTGTTGAGCAGTAAAATGCACGGCAGCTAAAGTTTAAACTTGGTTAATTACATCCTTCTTCAGGTGGGGACTGCGAAGCGTAAGCACAACAGCTTAAGTGTGTCTAAGAGGTGGCTTTGACGAGGAGTTAAATATTTTTACATGGTTAATAACATCTTTCCAATGATTGCTCAATTTGTACCCATCATCACGGTGGAAGTTATGTCTATGTTTGTGTATCTGGATGGCTTCATGCACAAACCTTTGATGGTAGCCAGAAGGTTTGCAGAGCACCTTGGTCTCGGAAAAGACAATATCATGAGAGCCCACAGCGTTGTAACAATGATCGGCAATGGCGGAAGACTCAATTTTGCCGTGTTTCAGATCGGAGACATGATGTTTCTTTTCCCCAATGTAACAATCACTACAGATGCAACTCAGTTCATAGACTCCAGGGTATTGCAAGTCAGGAATGACATCATTCACAGATGGGATTAGATCACGGATTTTATGTACTGTACTGAATCGGACCTAGATCTTATGTTTGTTTAGAATTTTGGAGATCTTTTTGGTCACGCCTGCTATGTATGGTAACGTGATGGTTTTGATCGGAGTTTCAGGTGGTTGTTTCTGTATGGTGGGAGAAACAGCTTGGCGGATAGTACGGTCAGAGTATCCGTTCATCTTGAGGGCCAGATGTACATGTTTTAATTCAATGGTCAGGTGGTGTTGGTCCGAGATGCAATGAGCTCTGTGGTATAGTGTTTTGATGAGATAATTATTTTGAGCCGGGTGGTGGTGGGAATGAGGTTTCAAGTAGGAATCTGTGTGGGTGGCCTTCCTGTAAACAGAATGTCCCAAGGAGCCATCAGGTCTCCTCTCAAACAGAGATGATATAGTCATCATCTCGGCCGACAAGGGCAATGCTACGGTTATCATGGATAAAAACTCATACAACAACAAAATCCAGGACCTACTCAATGATGGTAGTTACTCCAAAATTAAAAGTGATCCTACTAACAGCTTAACGACAAAAACCGACAAGATCATCACGAGTTCGACTTCCCTCATCGAACCAACCAAACGACCCTCCCTAAAACCCTCGGCTGCAAGACCTTCCAGATTCTATGATCTTCCCAAGATCCATAAAGAAGGCACCCCACTACGGCCCATAGTGTCCACGATCAACTCTCCTACCTACAAGCAAGCCCGTTTTCTATCAGATGCTCTGCTTCCCTTCACTGGCAAGACCACTTCAGCAATACTTAACTCAACCCAATTGGTTTATATGGTTAAAGACATGGTACTGTCTCCTGACGATATCCTCGCAGGTTTTTATGTGGTTTCTCTGTTTACCAAAGTCCCAGTGCCTGACACCTTAACAATAATTGAAGACTTGGTCCAACATGGATTTAACTCGGATGTACCTGCGTTGGTTAGGCATTTCCTCACCAACACTTACTTTACCTGGAATGGCACCTTCTACAAGCAGAATGAGGGTACCCCTATGGGCCCCCCCTTGTCAACAGTGATAGCCAATGTTTTCATGGAGAAGTTTGAATCAGACGCCATCCAGACGTCTACCCTGCATCCTTACCTGTGGAAGAGATATGTGGATGACACTTTCGTCATTTGGCCAAATGGCCTCCCAGCATTGAACCATTTCCTGGACCACATCAATTCCAGACACCCATCCATCAGATCCACCATGGAAGTGGAGAAAGATGGCAAACTACCATTCTTGGATGTTCTGTTTGAGAGGAGACCTGATGGCTCCTTGGGACATTATGTTTACAGGAAGGCCACCCACACAGATTCTTACTTGAAAACTGTTTCCCACCACCACCTGGTTCAAAAGAATTATTTCATCAAAACACTATACCACAGAGCTCATTGCATCTCGGACCAACACCACCTGACCAGTGAATTAAAACATGTACATCTGGCCCTCAAGATGAACGGATACTCTGACTGTACTATCCGCCAAGCTGTTTCTCCCACCATACAGAAACAACCACCTGAAACTCCGATAAAAACCATCACGTTACCATACATAGCAGGCGTGACCAAAAAGATCTCCAAAATCCTAAACAAACATAAGATCCAGGTCCGATTCAGTACAGTACATACAATCCGTGATCTAATCCCATCTGTGAAAGATGTCATTCCTGACATGCAATACCATGGAATCTATAAACTGAGTTGCATCTGTGGTGATTGTTTCATTGAGGAAACGAAACGTCATGTCTCCGATCGTGTCCGTGAGCACAAGTCAGATCTGAAACACGGAGTCTTCCGCCGTTGCCGATCATTGTTACAACGCTGTGGGCTCTCATAATATTGTCTTTTCCGAGACCAAGGTACTTTGCAAACCTTCTGGCTACCATCAAAGGTTTAGTGCATGAAGCCATCCAGATATACAAACATAGGCATAACTTCAACCGTGATGATGGGTACAAATTGAACAATTATTGGAAAGTTGTTATTAACCATGTAAAAAAGATTTAACTCCTCGTCAAAGCCACCTCTTAGACACACTTAAGCTGTTGTGCTTACGCTTCGCAGTCCCCACCTGAAGAAGGATGTAATTAACCAAGTTTAAACTTTAGCTGCCGTGCATTTTACTGCTCAACAGCCAGTTTATATTTACTCTCATAATCATATCCATATTGATTCTTATAATTTTACAGTCATATCCAGCCTGATACACCACTATCACTAAGAAAAAGTCTGATTTACAACAGTGTTTCATTCTCATCCGCCATTCAGCGTCCAGGCACCGTGCATGCAGTGTACAAGCACCGTACATGCAGTGTACATGCAGTGTACAAGCACCGTACATGCATTGTACAAGCACCGTACATGCAGTGTACAAGCACCGTACATGCATTGTACAAGCACCGTACATGCAGTGTACAAGCACCGTACATGCAGTGTACAAGCACCGTACATGCAGTGTACAAGCACCGTACATGCAGTGTACATGCAGTGTACAAGCACCGTACATGCATTGTAAAGCACCGTACATGCAGTGTACATGCAGTGTACAAGCACTGTACATGCAGTGTACAATCACCGAGATGGCTATCTCCCCCCTCCCCGACTCATTGGCTCCTCCCTGCCCAGCACCCTATATAAAGACACGTGTCTTGAATAGCTTTCTTCACACGCTACAGTAATTTTATTGGATCAGTTACACCTGGTGACGGAGGCTTGTGTTGCTTCCGAAACGTCGTGATTTAATTTAGTTATTTTCATTTATTATTATTGTATTTTATTATTATAATTTTTACCTACGTGACTTTACCGAAATAACATAGGAGTATGAACATTACAATGTTCTGGGATGTTGTGTGTGGTGTCCACAATGCTACGATAAGTGCACACTGCACGTTTTGAAAACGTTGATCATTTGACGTTAAGCTGACGTTATGATCAACATAGAATGTAGTTATGCAACATTTTCTAAAGGGCATTGCAACTTGAAATTTGTAAATTATTCATGTTCTAGCTGATCACAAATAACATGTAAAGGATTTTTTTTGTTCTACATGTTTTTGTACGGGAAGAAAGCAGTTACGTGATATGTCATGACCTTTTTAATTTCCCACTCTCCGTGAATGTAAGAAACCTTTACATAACGGAGATTAGATGCATTATACTCTAAAACAACGCTAATTATAAGCGGCATAACATAAATATTTACATTTCCCCACCATAGTTGCAACACATTTACGAATGTCCGAAAAGGCATGAAAAATACAAAAATAAACTCTGAAATTAAGTCGAATTGCTCCAACGTAGGGAACACACCGGCGAATTAGCGTTTACAGTCCCAACTTGTCTCGCATTGACATGCGTTTAAGTGAGTTTTAACTCTCGGTGAAATTTGCCTACAGTTCCTAAACAGCATATTATAGTAGAATAACCATTCATAAACGCCAATGGAGCTGCTGTTTTGGGGTGATAATGCAGTTTTATGCTTTATTTTGCACAGATGGAGTAATAGATAATGGCGAATATGAGTGGTTCACCATAATGATGAGCCTTATGTATTTTCCCTGTACATCACTGCACCCTTACTTTATAGACAGCAGTACAGCCTGGATACATATTCAGATAATTCCTTTAAGTTAATGTTTTTAGCCATCGTTTGTCATTTTAATACATAAATATTCACGGATCTGTTGCTTATTTTCTACTATTACACATTCTTAAAAATGTACCGTACGTAAACATGGAAAAGACAGAGAATTGATTTGCAACAGATTTGCACCACCTCAGGTATTACTATTCTTCCCCAATGTTTCACGACAATTTGAACTTCATGTTATTCGCAGGCAGTGGCTTGAGGTTTTGTCAATTTTGATGTTATATATTTTTTTAAATATCCAAGTGTTTTAACGTGGACCTGAGCGGTGAGCAGCATGACAGTGCCCTTTGTTTAGGCGAGGTTTGGTAATTCTATATTCGGTTGCCTTTGTGCTGAGAGCCAGAGAGATGCCTTAGTGCGCTGTGCTATTATGAGATGTTTGGTAATTTGGTGGCTGTCTTGGCAGTGCTGCAGTGCAGATGTATACAGTACATGCAGGGGAAGGACCCCAGCTTGCAGCTGTTGGGCAGTGCTGGTTATTTTTGTTCATTGTCTAATGTGTTGGTGGTCCACAAATCGACTGGGGGAGACTTTGAAAGAGGAGAGGCATTCCAGACGACATCACAACCAGCAGCAGCAGCTGCCTCTTGTGAATCGACAGCCGTCGTTGCCACACTGCAGAGAAGCAGCCTTCCTCCATGAGACATCAGCCACATCGACCCTCCTCAGCACAATACTGTGAGGACCCACAAACATGCCCTCCAGAATTGATTTGTAGCTTTTGGTTTTAAGGCGCAGGACAAAGGGGTTGTAATTATATATTTCGATGGTTTGATAATGCATTGGCCGGATAAGCAACGTAAGAGAGTGGCTTTTTTTTGTCTTGCAATAACTGAGACGCGCGTGTAATGAGGCGAAACGATTGATAGGCAGTGCGATAGACGCCGCCGGTATTCACACCCTGGCTTGAAGAGAAAGCGCGCAATCCTTCAATGAAGAAACCCGCATTTTCTTCAGTATGCTCAAGTTTAAGGTTGTGAAGACAAAAAGGTAAGTGTGAAACGAAGCGTCGCTTTGAGAATGCCATGCTGGTGGGTTGAGGCTCGCAGGATTCCGTGGCTCCGTGTACGAGGCGTGTATATTATTATTGTTGCCTTCATGAATTCCTTTTCTCCTTACGTCACCAGAGGCACATGGAAGCTCAGAGGGAGATGATGATGATGCATGCGGCGCTGTAACGCTCTAACCCCAACCAGCTTCACCGCAGATGCAGTATTTTCAACACTGACATTATTCCATTCATATTATTTGAGATGATGTTTATGTTTTATTTTTTGTACTGCATTTGAGACATTTAATCGCCAACAGGCATAGTGCACGTTTCTAAATTATTTCGTATGCCTAAAATGGACAGCAACCGTATATTTGTGTATTCACGTGATACCGGATAATCTTACATTTGTAAAGTAGTATTGGGCAATGCACACGGTTATACACCTATAGAAACGTCAACGTTTTCCGTGTATGATGTGTACATATAATTCATTGAACGAGACGTGCCTTACATGACAACGCCAGGAATAATTTCGATTGCCTGTTCACGTGAATGTAAATAATGTACTATAAATCTAGCGCTGTGCTGTCATTAGCTGGGTGTGGGTGAGGCTGAATGGGATATTTACATTCCATGGGAAAATCTGCAACTTGTGATTTTCTGAACCGGAGGCCGACTGGCGTCATTATTGCTTGAAAGTAGCACAGATCTGAATGTAATTGATAGCGGGTTGCATCGATTTAACTTCTGTGCACATATATAGTTCAAGTGTGAATTTACACCCGACGTTGCACGATAATGTTGAGATTGTTTGAAATTAAAATAGATCTAAACGCATAGTTACATGTGCAGTATATAATTAAAGCCCCCATTTCTACGAGTCTAAAAGACATTGGCATTTAACACCGCAGTACCGTCATTTGAATAACTGAAACATTCCAACACTGTACTGTGATTTATATATATACACACACAGGTACTGTCATTAATTTTCCACAATGTCCCTTTCAACGCTCGAAAATATCACATTGCGTCTGGGGGAAGAACAAAACACCCATCCCGGGTAGTGTTGTGATGCAAACAATGAATATGCACAGCACAGTTTATAGGAGTGATGACAATGATAGGCAGAGAGGGTGGGGATGGAGGAGGGTGGGAGATCGATGCTGCAGAGCGGTGGTGCAGAAGCTCTATGCTGTCAACACAATCACAGCATTACCTCCAGCAACACTGCCGCTACGACTACCTCGACTGACATTCGATGTTATCTCGTTGGCCTGCTCCGCAGCAAGTCGTGGGTTCGATCCCTACCCTGACCCCTGCTGCTGCTGCTGTATATATTTGGAGTTTGCGGTGTCTCTCTCTCTCCCCGTGGTGGCGTGGATTTGTCTCCGGGGCCTCCTGGGGTTTCCCCCCCCTCCACATTTAGAATCAACATCGCGGGTTTAGAGCATACGGCTGCTATAAATGCCCACGTGATAATAAAGCCACCTCGTTTGTGATAGCCAGGTCGCCTCTAAAAAAGAGCTGCTGCATATAGCTCAGTGGGCCTTACCTGGTAAAATAAAAAACATAGTTTTGTTTAATTTGGAAATCACTGGTGGTGAAAAAACTAAACAGTATTGTTTGTTAAAATCGTCCTCTGTTGTAATTGTGGAAGGTATGTAACGGGCAAAACAATACAGTACTGTATCATTTAATATTGAAATAATTAAATGTACATCGCACATTGTTTTATCGTCGTTTTATGCTTGTTTATTAGCTGGGAAAGCCTCAAGTCTCGCGGCTAATTTTTGAGAAGAGTGCTCTAAGTTTTCACAGTCAGGGGCGACGAATCTCACTTACAGCACAGTACTTCACATTCCAATTCAGTCATTTGCAATGTAAATGTTTCAAATTTGTACAAAGATGCCGGAACACAGTGGACTAACTCTTGCGAATGGCGGCCGCTGGATTCGAAACGGTGAACCTCTTCAATAAGCAGCAAACGCACTCCTGACTGGGTCACACAGCAAGCAGCACGTTTACACTATACGGTTAGAGTACACGGTACTCTACTCACGAATAAACTACAATTCTGAAGTAAATTACGGAAAGTCAGAACAGAAGGGCCTCCTGACTCCCACTCATGCACCATCTCCATAATTCACGTTGTAGAGAGATTTCTGGAGTGATGATACATTTCCTTTTCAAAGTTTGGTGTGGTTTTAACATTCATAATCTCGACTAACAACCCTGAGTTAGTGGAGCCATCCCGGTTGACAGAGCAGTGCCTTTTGGCATGAGGAGGTTGTGAGAAGAGAGGGCGACATTACATGTAAGACTGAGCTTTCTAATGACAGCAAATCGTTATTTGATATTTCACATCACATTTGAAATGGTATTTCCATAAACAAAAGAATTTGACTAGTGCACATAAATTGTTTTGATCCAATTTTTGAGTGAACAATTTTCAGTCCCAATGCATGAAAAACATGTTTTGTTTGATTGGAAATGCTTAATTATGTATTGTAGTGCCTGTCGAATTAAATTCAATAATATTTGTTGATGTGGTTCAGAGTTAATGCACATCGCATATGGAGCGGAGTTAAGAAATGGGAGTAAAGTGGAATGGATGCAGCAAACTTCTGGAAATAAGTTTGCAGTTCATATAAAAGTTAATTGAAAACCAGTGAAAGGACATGAAATGACTGGAATGTGATATACAATCTTGATTTTAAGCTTTTGTGACTGCAGGAATTCATACTCTTTGGTTCTTTCGGTAAAGTCGCGTAGGTATAAAATAAAATAAATCACGTTTCGGGCGCAACACAAGCGTCCATCATCAGATCAGTTGATATACAATGTTGAGTCGTGACGTTTCAGGCGCAACACAAGCGTCCATCATCAGGTGATGATGGACGCTTGTGTTGTGCCAGAAACGTCGTGATTTATTTTATTTATACCTATGTGACTTTACCGAAAGAACCAAAGAGTATGTGATATACATTGTTGAGTTTTCAAATTGTGTACAGTCTGGAGATGTATTTGGGTAAAAGTATAGAATATTCTGTTCAGTATTTCTATGCTTTAAAACTGTAATGCAATAACAGTATCGTTTCAAACCAAACCAAACACTTTACATTTGAATCATGGTGATGTTCCCAACACAATTTTAGTTGCTTTCTACATTTGGTTAAAAATTGTCTTGCAAACTGAGAGAATAAATATACAGTATAAACCAGAGTACTATACTTCTGGAATTGAAAACTTTAAAAACTATTATGGCAGTGTATCTTATTTTCTCATGTGCACCAGGGGAATGTGTGCTGTCCACAGAATGCAGGGCTGTTTACTATCATGCACACTGAATTGTGACATTGACTCATCTACTGTAAGCTAATTTTATAACCTTATGCCAACGGTTACACATGCAGCATGGGAACATCACTTTTAACTGACCAGAGAAATGTCCTCGCGGGCTTTAAGTTTGCTACTACACCATACAGAGCTGAATATCTTACTAAACAAAATACCGAGCTCACTCGTATTGCTCCATTAGGATGACACTTCACAAGCAGCGAGCAGTTGCTTGTAATTGCTTCCGGCATCTTGGCATCACTTGTTTAGGGCTTGCTACATCAATAATAATACAAGCAGCAGGTCTTAGTAGATTCTGATTTTATTAAATTCAGAGGACTACTAAAAATATTTAAAAATGTACTGTTTATACAGCAAATACGTTAAAATGTACAGTAAATACTGTGGGTTGTCAGCAGTGACCATCTATTTTAAATATTTTACCAAATATTACCGACTAAGCTATTTAGCCCTTTTTTAGAAGTAATATGGCCACACATCATGTGGCGACTTATAGCAGCCACATATTCTAAACGCATGTTTCTAAATATGGAGGGGAAAACCAGAGGACCCGGAGAAAAATCCACGCAACCACAGGGGAGAACATTAAAACTCCAAATATACAGCAGGTGTCAGGGTCGGGATCGAACCCACGACCTCCTGAATACCAGCCGAGCTAGTTAACGTATCACCATCATGGCGCCCTAAACGGTATTGAGATAACAGTACAGAAATTACCGATGTGCATTACATACAGTACACTGATTTCAATCTAGGGTATCATGAATTACAGTACTTTAAAACAGTAATGTCAAATAACTTGTTTTGTTCCATGTATAAATTAACATTGTTCGTTCCTATGGATGAAATGTGCGTGCTGTAGCCATCATAAATCGATGTCTTATGTTCGAAGTCCAGTTGATGGCTCCACGAGATGGAGTCAAGGTACTCCGCGCAGTGCTCGTGAGAGTCAATGGACACAGGCCACGATTCTTCTGCCAGTAGCCAATCAGTATGCGCCCGAGTCACTCATTGCTCACACCCCAAGTGACCTGCAATTCGACTGCTATATTTAAACGAGTGAAGAGACAACCGTATACTCCGAGTAACTTTCACCCACAGTAACCGTGCAGTGCTGCAATTTGATGGCACAGCGGCTTGTCTGCTGACATGTGATTATTTAAAGTTAAATAATTTGCACATTATTTTGGTGATGCTGGTGCACAGTTAACAAAAAGTCAACAGTGCTGCCTTAAAATAACACAATGTATAATAATAGGCAAAATGTTGGGTCATAGTCCTTCTTCATAGCACGAGAAAAGACAATATACAACTCTAATTCTGATGTACGGTGAAGAAGGGCCATAGTCCAAACGATTCTATATTGTTTTTCGTTTTAAGGCTGGGTTGTTGACAAGTGTTATGAGTTTTCGTAGTTTAATTTGCATTTGCTGATTATTCCAATTCCATTATTTATTGCCTTGTCTTAATGATGATCAGCCAAAGGAGATACTTTACATCCTTGCCTGGATGCCCCACGTGGTTTGATAACACGTATGAGGCAGGATAATTGATCGAGACAACAATCGATGTTTGGGTGAAGACTTACTGCGTATGGTCCTTCTCAAAACTGTAGCTAACAAGGAACAAAATACAA